ACATTTACACAGGAAAAAAAAAATGTCACGTCTCCTCTTGACATAGCAGGCTTCTGTTGACCTTTTCGGGATGTTGAATACATTCTTTGTGCGGCTTTTGTGGTTGCCACAATATTTCGGCCGATCTATTCTACAGCCTTTTTTTACGGGCATAATCCATTAATAAAAAAAAAAGCAAAAGTTTCATTTCGAATTTGAGACTAAATTGAACAGTCAGTTTTCAGTAAACTGAATATAAGCAGAGGAGACACGGTGGAATAATGGATAGCTGCTCGGATTGAGGAATCGGAGAGCCGAGTTCGAATTTCAGTCGAATCCATTACATTCACTTACGTGCTAATTGGAAAGGTATGAATCCTCTTCTTCTCCCCCTCCAGCTATGAGTAAATAACAGGACAGACCGGGTTCTATAGTCTTGGATGGCAACTGGTTTACTGCAGAAAGAAATGGCAACCTACTGCGGTAAAAAAAAAATGTGCCTCGTTCAATCATGTATCGAAAGATACATGATCGCCTAAGCATGTATCACGCATGGCACATAGCTGACTGACTGAATTTAAGCGTAGTACTAGATTGGCAACAAGATCTCATCAATTATACGGTTGAATTGGCTAGATGCAGCCGTAAGTTCTTGCTAACAGTTTCTTCTTTTGTGGAACTCTCGTCACGCTTTTTGCTTTCAAGCCAACTTTGATGTTCGAAAATTTCAAATGCAATATCAATCGTTATCTACTCCCCTCTTGTTTACTGTTCTGGTCTACTGTTCTCGCTCCTTAATAATGTTTCTCTTTTTCTTATTCTTTCACACCCAGGCTCTCCTTCCTCTTTATGTGTCCCAGAAACATCAGCTGCCTCTTTCTGATGTTAAGTATATGCCTTCACCTTGTTTGTAACCTCTCTAAGACCTCATCGTTGCTCACACGCTCGGTTCATGATATCCTTAGCATCCTTCTGTAGAACCACATCTCCGTCGCCTCGAGTCTCTTCTTCATCTTGGAGGAAATCGTCCAACATTCCCTGCTGTAAAGAAGAACAGATTTCACGTAACAGCTCAGTATTCTTTTCTTTGTTGCCAAAGAAATCCTCCTGTCTCGCAATACTTTGCTCAGCTTTTGGAATGTGCCCTTGGCCATCCCAATATGTCTACGGATCTCAGCGTCGCACTTACTGTCCTTTGTCAAGACGCTTCCTAGATATTTAAACTTCCGCGTCTGCTTGATTCTTGTGTTCCCGACGTGCAAATCGCATTTCGGCCTCATCTTTTTACTGATGACCATGCAATCTGTTTTCTTGTAGTTTATGCTTAGTCCCTTCTTCACGCTCTCCTTCGTTTCCTTATGTAGGAGATTTTGTAGTTTCCTTTCCATGTCTGCTATCAGAACTGTGTCATCTGCGTATTTTATGTTGGTAAGATTGTGGCTGCCAATGATGAATCCTGTATATAGTGTTTTTAATTTTACTATAAAATGTATTGTTGGTCATTTTGCTATAAATGCATTGCTCGGTCCATGACATCCTTAGCATCCTACTGCAGAACCATACCTCCGTTGCCTCGAGTCTCTTCTTCATCTTTGAGGAGACCGTCCAACATTCGCTGCCGTAAAAGAGGACAGATATCACGTAGCAGTTTAGTCCTCTTTTCTTTATTACCAACGAAAGCCTCCTGTCTCGTAGTACCCAGCCTAGCTTTTGGAATGCGTCTTTGGCCATCCGTCTTCGGATCTCAGTGTCGCACTTACCGTCCTCTGTCAGAACATTACCCAGATATTTAAACTTCTGCACCTGTTTGATTTTAGTGTCCCCGACCTGTAAATCGCATTTCGGGTTTATCTTTTTGCTGATTACCATGCATTCTGGTTTTTTTTTGTTTTTTTTTGTAGTTTATGCTTAGTCCTTTTCTCTCACTTTCCTTCATTACCTTCTGTAGGAGATTTTGTCATTTCTTCTCATTTTGTAACAATTTCCACATATTCGTTCGTTGGCTTTTGTAATAAATGTTTAAAATTGTAAAGAGACTATAGAAACTCTGTATTACTCTTTTATGCATAAGTGGAGTGAAGACTGAAATTAGTACCAAGACAGTCAATCACTAAATAACAGAAAAAGAGACGGAGGATTCATGCATTCTTTCGGCTAATAAATTAATGCTTTGAAAAGAAATATTTAACATTTTTCATCCAACGGGTCGCGTTCCCGCCGACAACAAAAAGCATGCTTCGTGATCCCTTTGGAGGGTATATAAGCAAAGTTTCTAGACTAGACAATTCTGAGTGAGATATCTCATCAGTTGCCTTTGTAATATTTTTTTTAAAATTGTAAAGAGGTTTTATGGACACCCGGCATAATATTAAGTAATTAAACATTCAAATGCCGTGCTATCATTTCACCAGGACGTCTACTTTATTACAGAATAAACCTATTATCATCATCATTTGTTCCCATCACTGGATGTGGTTGTAGGGTCACTGCGCAATTGAGTACCTGATCAGTTCTATATCTAGGTTGAAAGCCGGAGAGGTTCTCGTTCACAAGCGACGTGTCTTGGACAAAGTAGAGCTGGTGGAGCACAACACACTCCAGATCAAACCACAGTGGATGCCCACCAACTTGAAGGCTCGCTTTGGTCTCGACACGTGGCGGTTCACTTTAGTCTAGGAAGCTCACCTTACAGCGATGCTATTTAGTAACTGCCCCACGCAGTTAATGTGGCACGAGGCCGAATTTAAAGTGGGGTTCCCGAGCCCAGAGGCTCGGCCAAAAAATTCCCGTAGACCCCGCATAAACAGGATCGGGTCTGTCTACTTCCCCGGACGAAACTCTGCCCTTCGGCATAGCCTCGTCCGGGTTCCTCTCTGCCCGAAGGCAGAGAGTTCACAGTACAGCTGGGAAAGATAGCGCACAGCGATGGTGTGTCATCAACACACTAACTGCATACATAGCTATGGAGTCCAACCTGCCCCACTGTAATAGATGGCCGTTGACCCTAGAAGAAAGTTCATCGCCCCTTTGACAGGTCCTCTTTTCTTTCTTTTTTTCTTTTTTTAAAAATCCTACTGGGTGACTAGCTCCCCTTACCACCAGAAAAATATGAGGGTGGGGAATCGGTCTAGTAATAACCCGACTACGCAATAGTCTCTACTGATGCCTAAACTGGTTGCTTTCATAAAGACAAAACCTAACCCCCCACACACACAGATAGGTGTGTATTTATAGGGGATAAAAAAGGGTTAATTTGCAGTATAAATTCTCGTCCGCCATTACTGGTGTTGTTTACATACATTCACTTCGGAGCAGTCATTCGCGGAAGCTTACTTAGTTAACGGCCTTTTTACTGATCATACTCGTCTCAATTACTGCGCAGGAGTTAGTATTAGGGGTAGGGTTAGGTTTTTTGTTTTTCTTTTTTAAATTTCGCGCAAAGTTTGCGCATTGCGTGCACAATAATCAAGACAAGTGTAGCTACCGCGAATGATTTCTCCGAGGCAAATATAGGTAAACGACGCCAGTAATGGCTGCCGTGCTGCAGCCGCGACGCGAATGAGTCAGAACTTTTATTGTCGATAACTCCAAAACGGTAGATTTTAGCAAAATTTCTTTGTTATTTTCGAATTAAGCATGTACATTTTACACCTAAATGTAACTACAGTGTTACGCGGATATAAGAGAGTTGTCGGGACCGGAGAAGAAGTCTCTTATATCCGGGTTTTGGTCTATTTTATATACATTAACACAGCTCTAGTTTGGGACCAGAGAAAATCTCTCTTATATCCGGGTCTCTTATATCCGGGTTACACTGTATTCGGAAAAATTTTATTAGAGACTGAGCGCCGGGATTACACAACAAATTCCGCCCCACACCAAAAAAATAAAAATCCTTTACCCTCTGTTTTACTTACCTCCAGATGTTATCAAAAAATGATACATATGTGAGTAATAATAATCTGTAATAAAACGTCGTGCAACAATAATCGCTGATTCTAGCCTCTATGATAGCTCTTTAAACAACCACTCCCACTTTTTTTTTTGTCGGTTTAATACAACAGGAAACCTTGCCAACATTCTCACTCGCAAACGGTTATTTATAAAATGGATCACCCTACACACCAACCTACTCCGCTCTTGCAAGTTTCATCTCAGTGATGAAGTTTAAAAAAAAAAAAAAAGAAGGGGAAAAAAAAGAGAGAGAAAAAAGACAGTTACCCTGGAGACACTAACTTCGTCCCTTTACCAAAAACCACCCGTAATTTCGTCTTTATTTTTCCTTTTTTAAAACCTCACCCGCTCGCCACTTAGCAAACCCCATCCTTCCAACTAACACCACCGTCAGTCCCCGACCCACCCCTTCCCATACTGATTGTGACCTCTTTGTCCCGTTTGTTAATAAATGGTTGACATCTCAGATGACCTGCCAGGTTCTCGCCCACCCCGCATCACAACCATTCCTTCTGACCTTCCCCCACCCTTGGTCCGTTGCCATGACATCAAGAGGCTTGAGGCAGGAGCAAATAGACTGACAGGCTGTAAATTGGGTAAGATTGGTTTTACATGAAGTGGTTCTTCGATTGGCGAACTGATAAGAGATGCAATTGTATTGTCAAAGTTTTTAGTTTTGTTGAGGAAAAACAAAGAAAGGATATTGCTCGCATACGCGCCCGAACCGCGACAATTATGCTGGATATAGGCTTGGTGCGCTGGTGAATTTTCCATTTTGCTGGTTTTTTTTTTTTTATAGGTGGAAGGGTATATTTTTCAAGAATTTAGTGTAATTAGTTTATAATCACTTTAAAGTAAATTACCCTTTATTTTTCACTTGACCTGCTTTTGAAATAAAGAATTTAAACGTTAAACATTCCGAAAAGAAACAATTCCGGAATAAAATTTTACAGTATTTTTTTTTCTGGATTCGTTCCTCCAGTAAAGATTTTTTTCTTTTTTTTTTCTCTTTCTTGAATCTGGGATTTGTCACAGTGCCAACCATTTGATTGAGTTAAAAAAAAAAC